TTAACAGACGTAAATAGATTTCTTCTATTATTCATCCTTCACATGTGAGAGCAGTATAGTCATAAAAGATAGAAGACAAGGTTGTCACCACGCACACTTTCATCTACCAAACATTTGTAACGTTCTTTTCTTCTTCGTCTTCTTATAACTATCAATAATTCCCTTGATTCAATTATGCTTCCCAAAACATCAATGCAAAAACACCATACGGGTCCAATCGTTACAAAATTTAAGTCTGATAAATTGAAGCGTGCTCAGAGTAAATATAAACGCTAGCAGACTTTGTTAAAAAAAGTGAGTGTAACATCGCTTTTTAATAGGGTTTTTCACTCGTTTTCTTCCGTCTACCTTTGTAGATTCAAGAATTTAGTGATATAACAGGTATTGAAGCCACTTTTGTTTTCCGAGGTGAAGATGATCAATTTTATGTCGACGGACCAGACGATGATGTTAACGTGAGTGTGGAAGTGCTAATAACAAAACACGAAAAAAAAAATGTCGGCACGCAGTATCAGATTTCCGATCGTAAAATGGTCAATAAATGTATCATGTGTAGTCTACGAAAAGCCAATGAAATTCTAGCTTGCACATCCAATAAATGTGTTAGTTTTCGTTCATACAAAATGTATTGGTATTACTGAAGTGAAAGCCAAAGCACTTGATTGTATTATGTGGCGTTGTCCGCAACATCGTAAATGATCATCATCAGACATATAAACAGATAGCTATCTCTCGCCCTTTTCTTCACAGTTAGTGTTTTACTGTTTTTTTCCCTCTTATTGATTATTTCTTATTGTTTTGAGAGAGAGTTTTAATTCTTCTAGTAATAAATGAGTTCAAATCAAAAGATAAAAAAATAGCGTTGTTCGATTACTCATCATCGCTATCACTCATATATTCTAGACCCGCACATGTCTTATTTGATAAATGAAAATGTTCTTCTGAATAACGTTTTAAGTATATTGATTGATTTGACAGTGACTGAGTCAGGAATTGTTGGTAACGCTTGTTCAATACTGTACCATCCAAACCACATAGTTCTTTTTGTTTAAAAACACCACTTTTTCTTACTTGAACACGCCACTTTTCTATTTCACTGCATAAATTGTGTTTTTGTCTTGTCTGATTATTTTGTTTATTTAAATTCAAATTGTTAAAAGCATTTTTACGTATCTGTTAGAAATCAAAAGAGAACATACAAATAACGGGCTCGAAGAAGAAATAACTTTGCTGTATACTTACGTCGCTCAAAAGATCAAAATTATGATTGATATTCAACCATGTTTCATCAGACGGTTGTCCCGGTGGCAGTAAATTTTTGATTTTCTTGTTGTAATTTTCGAGAACAAAATCAAGTCCTTCGCACTCTTGAGTATTTCCACTTGTACTATAAGCATCATTCTCTCGATAAAACTG